CCACGACACGCACACAGGGAGACTGAGGAGTATGAGAGCGACAGAGAGAGAGAGAGAGAGAGAGAGAGAGAGAGAGAGGGAGAGGGAGAGGCAGAGAGAGATCTCGAGCTAACTTATGCGTATCGTTTGTAGCTGTGGCATCCGAGTGCAACTCTCATTGGTGTAGTTGCAATATTTAGCTAAAATATGCCACACTTTAACATTTTACGACATAGGCGGAAAGGCTGCTTGAGCAGAGCGAACTCCCCCGTCTCGGCTGAGACGACAGCATGGGCTGACTGTATAATTTAATAAGGTTTGGCAAATGTATTGCCTAGAGCAGGGCGAACACAGCTTGTTACCTGCCTCCCGACTTGCTATTGTTGTACGTTTTGTAGTTTTCGACAGGTGGGCTGCGCCATATAATGAAATTATACACTGGCAAAGGGTATCATAGCTGCGATGCAGGACTTGAATTTGATTATAGGGCAGGAAGGGAGCTAGAGCTTAGTTATTATGACCCATATTCCATAATAACTAGGGTTAAGTTCCGGCCAGAATGTTAAATTGTAATCATTGAATGTTAAATTCAATTAAAATTATTGTTTTGCGTTAACAAATTACACAATATTTGTAGTAATAAAATTCTTAAAAAATAATAAAAATAATGAATTTTTAATTTAAATGAACTTTTATGGTATCAATCTGAATCTAATATAAATATATACAGATATAACTCCAGTGAAGAATAAAATAAAATGAAAAGTTAAAAAAAAAGTAATTTATATTTTAAATATTTTTTTTTTTTATTATTTATTTGATTCTTATATGAAAATTGCTTTAATTGAAATTTGAATGAAAAAGAGGATTATTGGGTGGCGTATTTCTAATAAATACTCTTTGGTTTTTTGTGGCCGTTTTTTCAATTTTCTCTAGTTTGATATATTTTCAATAAATTCATTTTTAAAAAAATATTTTAGTATACTATATTATAAATATTAATAAATTAAATAAATATTAATAAATATTTAGTATACTATATAATTATAAATATATATATTATTTAAATAAATATTTTTAAATATATATATTTTACCTTACATGTCTTACTAAAAAAAAAGTTTGCCCCGAAATATATTCATTTTTCTAATTTGGTAACTGATGAACCGAGATGTAATCGAAAAACAAAATTATACTTACAGGGAATGCCAAAGCTGCACTATACTGACGATATATATATTTTCAGCAATACAGTTTAGGGCAACGAATTTTGGACAACAAATTGCATTACTTAGCGTATACGCAATTCGTATGTCAATTTTCTTTGTATTATATTTTATTTCGCACTTGTGCTGTTTAAATTGAAGCTAAAGTGCTTGCCGGACGTTCTGTCCGGAGACTTCTACGTATATCGGATGCTATATCATTTGTGCGGCTAATGCAATACTTTTGTGGCTTATAAATTACTTAGTAGCATTTAAGTGCTGAAATGTTTTGTCGGTTAGTTTGGTGTTGGCATTTGACTTCCCAGGTCTGCTTCATAAATTTCAATTTATCTTTAACTGCCCCACACACTGCCACTCCCTTCCCTCTCACACCCCCCTCAGTCAACTCTGTCTCTGCCTCTGCCTCTGTCTCGCTCCCGCTCTATTTATTTGCAGATGTTGACAAGTAACATTCAGCCTGGGGCTGGGTTGGCTCAGCTCACTAGGCACACTTTAGCTCGCACCGCCCCGCCCCGTCCCGCCCAGCTCCGGCAAAGTGACCTTAATGGAATGCGTGAGAGGCGAGTGCAAAAGAAGGTTACCCAGAGTTTAAAAGGCTCTCTCTGGCCCCGCCCCTCTTCCGCCTCTGCCTGACCCTCAAAGTAGTGCAACAGTTTATGACAGACCTTTTGTTGTCTCGTCCTGCTGCTCAGGGCCAGTCGAGGAATTTACGCCTCAGGATAATTTCCCCACGAGCAGCTGACAGAGAAGAGAAAAAAACTTGAATCTGAATTAAATTCTGCTGAAGGTGTAAAATCATCGAATGCTTGAGAGATTATCAGAAAGTTTTTAAACTTGTTTGCCTTCGCTTTGATTTATAGACTTAGTTTTTAGGCTTTTAAGAAATTTAATTAAAAGGGGATTTCTATCGTTCAGCTTAAAGGCGAACAATGGCAGCGAGGCAACAGGAACAGGAACTTAATCAATTTGGCTATCATTACACCATCCAACGAAGCATAGTTTTTGTTATGGCGTTAACTCCTCTTTTTTGCATGCCGCATTGTTCTATTCAAGAAGTTTTCATTTAAGTTGGATCCGCCCAGTTTTTCCACTTTGCCATTTCACCTGCGGGTCTGGGCTGGGCTGGGCTGGTCTGGAAATGCTTGAAACAAGTGCATGAAAAGTTCAACACTAGACAACAAGCAAAACGAAAAAGAAATAAAAAGCTGTGAAGGTGAAAGAAAAAAGTTGTACTCATTAGCTTGCGGCTGCCTAAAGGATGTCTGCAGCTCTCCCTGCTTGATGTGCCGCTTATGCGTGAGCTACGCTCAACAGCGGGCAGAGGCGGGGACTTAATCTGGAAACCCAAGCCAGCAACGGAAAACTTTTTCTAACCCACTCAGACCCCCGAGATGTCGTTTGCGGTCGTCGTGTGCGTCCGACGCTCTGTCAAAAAGTGTCTGCCTGCACTGAAAGCGAAAACTGATGGCGCACCCGGCTAGAGCCAAATCCAAACTTAGACCCAGCAGCAAACGCTACCGACACGAACCATCCCATGCCCCAAGACGTCCCAGCCAACCTAGCCGCACTTGCCAGTCGAGCTGAGTGCAATTCACATGCATAGTTTTTCGAGTGCAATTAAGTGAAATTCGTATTAGTTGTGTATGAGAATGTGAAAGGCTGTGGGCTGCTCAATGCTCGATGCTCGAGAGCTGCTGAGAAACATGTGCCATGTGCAGCGAAAAGTATTAGCTAAAGGACGACGACACGACACGATGCGATGCGATGGCTGGCAATAGCACAAAAACAAACTTGGACACGTTGCAGGCCAGCCAACAAAGCCAGCGTAAGCCGCTGTCTGTGTGTGTGTGGGGGGAGGCTAGTGTGGCGCCATCTACAGCTCGTACTCGAAAAGTTGTCGCTAGCTGCTCAGATAATGTGGCTAACATGTAACACGCGCTCGCATACAAAGCATGTCATTAAAAGTTCTCCCTCTCGCTCAAACACTTCAGCTCGCCCACACAAACACACACACACACTAGCACACACACGGACACAGAAAATTTTGAACAAGCTGAGAACAACTAATTCTTAAGCAATAACTTTTTAGTTTGCCGTTAGCGTTTTGTCTCCCAAAATGGCCAAATGGCAGACAAACAGCAGCCGTCTTGAAGACTTATTGGCTTACAGGTAATGACTCGACCAACTTTATGGAATATTGTCTAGCCAAGATATATATTTACAAAATAAATCTGCTTAAGTATTTAGGCACTTATTTAATTTAGCTTGACTGCATTTTAAATATATTTAAGAAAATCTAAAAATTTTTATTATGTCGTTTGATTTTGATGTAAAAATTTTTATAAATAATTTATTAACATATATCTATTTTTATTTGACTTGAATTAAATTTTCTTTGTAAATTTACATATACATACATATTTAAATGTATCTTGCAAATTTATTTTTATATATAAACTATTTATATATTTATTTTGGAGATATATTTCTCTTTAATTTTTATTTTTGAAGTAAACATAAAATTTATAAACCTATTTTATAATAACACTAATCATAATAATATATATATGTATATATTTTTCTGACTTCAATAATATTTGTTAACTAAGCATGAATTATTGTATTTATGCATATATCATTTTTAATTATAAATAATTTATTAATTAATTTGTAAATACATATATACCTATTTAGTCTTCTCTATATTTGACTATCATATTTATTTATATATATTTTTATGTGTATTAAAAAAAATTAGTACTGGTTTACTTGTCTCATATTGCTAAGCTACACAAAAGAACATTAAAAATTTTTAAATCAATGTTTTACTTATATTTTCTCAAAATTTAGTCTTCTTTTAAATCAAAACCTTTAGCTGAATAAAATTTGGTATCTAATCTGGTAACTGGGCAATTTAAGGCTTAAGAGCCGCTGTAAAATCTTAAATTCAGCCGAAATCAGCTTATTTGGTCTCAAAGGTCCTTCCAAGGAAAGGCTTCTATTTACAGTTATATTTACAGTGAAATTCTTATAAAATAAATTCAAAACGCAACCTTCGTGATTGTTATTTCATATACCATTGGCCAAAAAATGTCCATCAAGTTGGCCAAAAGCAGGCTGCCTCCAATAAATATTTACTTTAAGGAACACACACACACATACACACACACACACACACAGAGAGAGACATTCGCACACTCACAATAAGGCTGACCAGAGCAGAGGAAGCCACAGCGAAGACACAATTACATGAAATTATGTTTGCACAACAGGGTTGGGTCGCTGTCGGTGTGCGGCGTGGCCCGAGTTGTGGCTCTGTATCCAATTCCATTAAAATCAATTTGTCTATTTATTTTGCCGATAATCTGCTGGAGCTTTTGGCTGTAAAATTTCGCACCGCAAATGGCCCCAGCGCTGGGAATTGTGCCGGACCGAACGTGAAGGTGGCTCTGCACCTCAAAAGCCTCTAATATGTCAACATCAGGCGAATGGCAGGACAAGTCCAAACAGGACAGCGCACCACAGACAGACAGCCCCGCACAGCGCAGGACAGCTAAAACGTTATAATTTGACCAATGTTTCGCCTGCCCCGGCCACCCCACCAACCGCAATGTCGATTTATTACGGCCGGAACGTTTTGCGTTGAAGTTGAAGTCCAACGTGTGTCATGTCCTTGCCTTGCTGTCAATCAGCAGACAGCATTTGGGGCACGGCGCAGAGGATATGATCAGAGCCAAATTGCCTTGGTCTGCTTCAATTATGTATGTATATATATTAATATAACTACAAACTTACCCTAAGAGCTACGGAGTTGCAGACAAAGCGACTTCAGCACTGAAAGAGAACAATAGGAAATTGTTTATTAAGAGAGGAAACTGTGTGAGATGCAAAGAAATTTGTGAGCTGAGCTCGGGAAAGGGCCACCTGAACAGCTCAATTGACTTTCTGAGAATGACGTCGAAGCGCCTTTGATGTAGAACAAAGCAGCGATAAGTAAACTTGATCTGTCTAGCGGATACAGAGAGAGATAGCGTGAGAGAGAGAGAGAGAGAGAGAGTTATGTAGACAGTGTTTAATGACACAGACCAGCTCGATTCAGTCAGCAGTCTAGACTTTTTTGAGGGATTTTGATAAAGTGAGTTCCTGTCTGATGTTCCTTACATTCCAGCTAGACATATTAAATCGAAATCTGATATCAGAAGAGTCGAATTATTTATACAGTAAATCGCAACAAATCGAAGAAAAAACCAATCCACTTCTCGATAACTCTCGATATTTTAAATTAAAAAAAAAATAAATAAAACTGATCCCTTTGCCATTTGGAATTACTGGGACTCGACTGTATATATATATATATATATATATTTTTTTTTTAAATTATATATATATTTTTTTTATACCCCGAATCTTTTAAAGGTGTAAGGTCTTACCATAAACAAAATAATTTCTTTGAAAATTCACTGAGGAAAACCAACGCTCAAAAGGTAAACTGCTTAACTGTTGGCTGCTTAGGATTATGTTTCAAATATACATATATAAAAACATATATTATCGAAGTGCATCAGCTGTTACCATATTTAAAGCTTATATATCGTATAATATATAATTCTCGTAAACTTTGTCTTGGCAAGTCTAGTTTAAGAGCCCCTAGGCCTGCCGCATTTTCACAGAACTTCAATGAAATATTCATTGACCCATTGACTCTCTGAAGCACTCAACTTTGAGCATTATTTCTTCATATGGCCGGGCATGCATATGTAGTGTCGCATGTTGACAGCCATTCAGGTGACTTGTTACGGCTTTTACGACACTATTAACATCATGGTGCTTGAGATTTATGGATATAGTTCAATAGGCGCTGCAGCTCCTGTTCTTTTGAGCCATTTATCTCTGGCCTGTTTGTGTTTTAATAGTATTTTTATGGTCAGCCATAAAAGAGGCAAGGCCGACAGGCAGGCAAGTGATAGTCGACCTCAAAGTAGACTAGCAAAAAAAGACAAAAAAAAATAAATCGAAGAAGGAGAAGAAGCAGAAAAACAACAAAGAGGCCATTAACTGGCAGTCAAACGAAAATGAGCAAAAGGCCAAACAACAGCTGCTTTGTTGATTTTGACATATGAGAATGATAATGTTAGCTGGCCTTAATTGTGCCCAACTTTTTGATATACTCTCCAAGCCCGGCTATAAACGCCAACGCAATAAGTTTGGCTGATGTAAGCCGCTTTTTATGTTTGATTAAATTGATTTTTGGTCTCGTTAAATATAATAATACTAAAATATATAATCAAAAATACTAAGCTGGAATTATTTGAGCAACAGATAACAAATATTCATTTGAGAAATAAAAAAAAAAAAATAATTCATAAAAATTAAATTAAATATGTTGTAAAAGCAGCAGATTCTCAGCTTCAAAATAATAAAATAAAAATAAAATAAAATTCTAATTAAGCATCTCGTATAGAGCATGTTTAAAGGTTTTTGCTTAGTTTCTTGCTCTCTTTTAGTATTTCGAGCTCTTTGTTTAATGGGCTAAATGCGTTTGCTCACTTAGCAGCGCGTTGTGGTTGTTGCTCATTTCTGTGGGCCCAGTCCAGCTCTCACTGCGGTACATCAATCAAATGCCTCCATAGCACTTAGCCGCCGCAGGAGTCGGCTGCTGGGCAGCATCTGGATGCTGTTGTTGTTGTTGTTGTTGGGCTTCTGCTTCAGTGCTTCAGTGTGCGGAGTTGACAGTTTTCTCTTTGGGCTCGGCTTTTTTCATTTTTATTTCTATGCCCGCCTGTAACGCGGTCACTTGATGCGCAAATAATTGAAATTAATAAATTGAATTTAATTGAAAAGCGCTGGACAACTTGAGCACTTAAAGGCAGCCGTTGGCCCCACCCAAACACTCCAGAGTCAATGAGTTGTGCTCTCAGGCTGCGCTTTAACTTGCTCGCAGAGGAAATGAAGCAGCCACACAGCTGTCTGGCGTGCTCAGCAGCTGCTGCTGGTGGCGCCACCGCCGCCGCCGCCGCCGCTGCCTTTCAATTTCAATTTCCGTTGCACTTTGCATAAATCTCTTATCGTTCGAAAGATGGCAACAACTTGGCTGGGGGGAAGCTGCTTTTTTTTTTTGGCTGCGCCGTTTTTGGACCAACATTTTGTGCAAACAAGGCGACGCTCTGCGCAAGCAAGTTAATCGTCAGCTGTGCGCCATTCACTGAGCACGAAGACCATTTGAATCACAATACGCCTGGCTGCAGCTGCAGGTTGAGTGGTGTAAATCTATGCAGCTGCCCGACTGCAAACTGCAAACTGCCAACTGCCAACTGCATTCCCTCTGTGGGGCGGCAGCTTACTGTTTTCCAGTTTCTTTTCATTACTTTTCCTGCAAAATTATGCGACTAAACAAGAAGTGACAACAGCAACAGTAACAGCAACAACAATAGCTCGATGGCTAACCAGCTGCTCGACTCAATGGCCAACATGACGTATACGTAGTTTTTGCTTCAACAAACTTTCTAAGCCAAAAACAGTTCTGTTCAAATTTAATTTATGCACTGGCAAACACACACGAAAAAAGAAAGTAAATGTAAATAGACATAGGGAGAGTGAAACAGAGAGAGAGAGAGAGAGAGAGAGAGAGAGGGAGAGCAGCAAGTCGAGTGTAAACCACAAACTGTGCAACATGGCGTATACATAATATGAGTGTGAGTGTGAATGTGTGTGTGTGTGTGTGAGTGTGTTTGGCATTTATGAAAAGTTACTTTTTGGCCTGATTAGATCATGTGCACGAACCACTGCTCGAGTCATTGACTTTGGAGCATTTAAGCCAAAACATTTTGCTCTCGCTCTTTGTGTATTTATCTCAATATTTCACTGCCTGACGATGATAAATTCGCTCTTTTTTAGCCAACCACAAACTGAACAATTAGGCTAAGCTATCAATCAAGCTATTAAAATCACTTGGCAAAGCGAGATTTCAAAGCCAGCTAACTCGCAGCGCTTCAGAATCTGCCTAGAAACGAAAAATCAATTAGGTAAGTGGAATTTAGGCAGAGAGCCTGAATATGGACTTTTAGCTAATTGAGCTAAAGTTTGCAATCAAATATATATTTAAAGTATAAAATAATAAATAAATTATAATGAAAAACAGGATATATCTGCAGAGAGCTGCTGTCGCAAATATTGCAGGTTTTCTGTATGTATTCGACACACAGACATGTACACACACTCACATAAACATTGTTGAAACTGCGAACTCTACTCGCTGTTTAGGCTGCTTTCGTCATCATCGATGAATCAATCGATTTAACAGCCAGGAGACATCGCATTTTTTTTTTTTATTAAGAAAATCAATATTTAGTCCAGTCCCTAGCTCTCTCAAAACTCTCAATAATTAAATACATGTCAATCAAGCAGTATTAAAAAATAAACAACTGCTGTGCCCTTCAAAAAAAGTTTAATTTAAAATTAAAATTCAATTTATATTCAACATAAATTTTAACTCAAATTTTAATCGGAAAAATTCCCTATACTTGTTTTGATGAGTTGGCTGCTTCGTATTAAATTTTCCCTGCAATCAAAATTAATATTAAAATCTGGTTTCGAAGTCTTGTATAATGCGTAATGGAAAATCTAAGACCGTATAATTTGTATTCTTTGTCAATTGAAGCTTTAGGGATTCCACTGTACTTCAATTTTGTTTGGCTTGAAAGCATTTCTACTCTATCCAATAATCGCTTGTGCTATTCTTTTCGAAATTATTTCTATACAAAAATTTGTATAATTATTATTATTATTTTTTTTTTTTCATTTACAGCATGAATTAAAACTAATACTAATTAATAGTACTTTTCAATCACTTTTTTGAGCAGCGTTTTTTCAGTCAACCTTGTGAGATGTTATATTTATATCTTTCAAAAGTCATTGTACAAAAATTAATAGTCCTTGATATTATTGATTTTTATCGGGAATGGGTTGAACAGCTTTACTCTGAATGATAATCAAATTTAAATATCATTAATTTTAGTTCTAATGCCGATGCCTAAATGGCCAGCCCGGCATTTCCTCATCGACTCAGCTTGAGCTTTATGACGAATGACGACATTCGAATAAGGAATATATATGCTATTAATGCTTCTACTACTGCTGCTACTGCCTATGCCTAATCAATAATACACAAGTTCCTTCCACACATTATACTCTGAATTTCCAATTCAATTTTCCGTTTCCGGTAAAGGCTCTAACATTTATAGCAAGTGAACATTAGGTATATATAAAGCAAGCTAAATATCTATATATATTTATAAAAAAATAAATAAAATTATATGTAATATATTTAGCAAATTTTCTTTTATATTCCAAATTGAAAATAGCTTGGCTTATCGTTTATTTTTGTCTCTCAGATATTTAACAGCTCATTAGCTCGCCTTGTTTAATAGCCCATGATAGATTGGTGTTTCAAGGATATATCAGAATTGAACAGAAATTCGTTCATTTCTTTTTATTTCTTTTCTCCTGACACTTGACAGCTCATGAGCTGCTGCAGGCTGAATAAGGAATAAAACATTATCGTCAGACGCCGCGGGTCGAGCTGTCAGCAGCTCTCGATGGCTTAATTATAACACTTTGCAAAACAAAAAAAAAAAAAACCTTTTTAGGTTTTATATTTTTACACTTTATTAATCGCTTCACGTGTCAAGGCAGCCGAGCATAGCCGATTGAAGATTGAGGCTACGACAGACCGCCCTGTCGATTGAGCACGCATCTTGTCAGGCGCTGCGACGCAAGTGATTTATTAGTTGGTCTCACCTGTCGTTGGGTTTTGCTTTCGCTTTTGAAAAATTGGT